ATGTTCTTCAACGGTGTCCAGAACTTCCAGTCCTGGAAGGACTTCTTCGGCGACCCAAAGGCGCTGATCTCGGCCTTCTCGTCGCGCTGTACCAGATCGGTTCCGTCATCTCCATCCCCATGGTTCCCATCATCACCGACAACTGGGGCCGCAAGCTGTCTATCGTTATTGGCTTCATCATCATGATTGTCGGTGCCGTCATGCAGGGTGCTTGCCAGAACTACGGCACCTTTGCCGGAGGCCGTGTTCTCCTCGGCTTCGGCAACTCGTTCTCCCAGATCGCCTCGCCCATGCTGCTGACGGAGATTGCCCACCCCCAGCACCGCGCGCGTCTCACGACCGTTTACAACTGCCTGTGGAACCTGGGTGCCCTCATCGTTGCCTGGACCACCTTTGGCACGGCCAACCTCAACAACGACTGGTCGTGGCGTATCCCCGCCATCCTGCAGGGTGCCCCCTCTCTGTTCCAGCTCTTCTTCTTGTGGTGGGTGCCCGAGTCCCCTCGTTTCCTCATTGCCAAGGAGCGCGACGACGAGGCTCTCGCCATTCTCGCCAAGTACCACGCCAACGGCAACGACCAGCACCCCACGGTTCAGTTTGAGTTCCGCGAGATTCGCGACACGATCCGCCTCGAGCAGGCCGCCAACACGAGCACCAAGTACGTCGACTTCTTCAAGACCAAGGGCAACCGCTACCGTCTCATCGTCATCATCGCCCTCGGCATCTTCTCGCAGTGGTCCGGCAATGCCATCATCTCCAACTACACCTCTCTCCTGTACGGAAACGCTGGTATCTCTGACGAGACGGCCCGCCTGGTCTCACGCCGGCAACACGAGCATGTCCATGATTGTGTCCATCAGCTTCGCCCTCATGGTCGACAGGGTCGGCCGTCGTCCCATCTTCCTGCTGGCCACCGGTGGCATGTTCGGCACTCTCTGCGTGTGGACCCTCACTTGCGGCCTGTACGAGCAGCACCGCGCGCCCGGCGCCAACATTGCCATGATCGTCTTCATCTGGGTCTTCTCGTTCTTCTACGCGACAGCCTGGTCTGGTCTCCTCATCGGTTACGCCGTGGAGATTCTGCCCTACTCGCTGCGTGCCAAGGGTCTCATGATCCTCAACATTGCCATCCAGGTCGCCCTCTGCCTCAACAACCAGGCCAACCCCGTGGCCATGGACCACTGGAAGGGCGAGGAGGGCACTGGCTACGGCGGCAACACGTGGATCCTGTACCTCATCTACGTCATCTGGGTCTTCTTCGAGCTGTGCTTCGTCTTCTACATGTTTGTCGAGACCCGCGGACCCACCCTCGAGGAGCTCGTCAAGGTCATTGACGGCCCTGACGCCCAGGTCGCCGACATTGACATGGGCCACGTCGAGAAGGACACGGCCCTGGAGGCCGAGAAGCGCGAGGACGCTGGCGTCGAGCAGGTCCAGTACCACTCCAAGGTCTAAAATTACGACGGACGGTTGTTGCTTGAGGCTCGCTCTATTTTCACTTTCTTCACACCGGGCAAGACGTCGCATGCTGCATGTCTAGGCCGCCACGGCCCAGGTCGCGCATGCGTCTCTCTTGCACCGGTCGATGCGTTGGTCACTACGTCACGAGTCGGGATTTAATGAGAACAACGGCCGGTTTCCCCCCTCCAATCGAGGGGTGGAAAGGGGGCTGCCTAGGACTTTCGCTATTATTGATACCACGAATACAGAATCCTTCCGGATACGTGCTGCTCTCTTGACTTGCTGTGATTTTTTTTTTTTTTTGCTGTCACTGTCCTCGTCTCTCAGGGTGTACAGTGCTGGTGTGTCACCGCAGTCGGCTAGGCCTCTCGTCTCCCCCTCATCTCCCCCCTTGATTGGGGTTGCCGATCCTTCGGTGCGCCGCTGGAGGTGCGGAGTAAGCGCTGACGAGACAGAGTGGGAACGGGAAGGATTGCGGAGGCCACGGCGACAGGGGTGATGAGGCATGGGGGTATGGACATGGGGGGTTCATTAAGCATGGTTTGCGAGGGAGAGAAGTGAATGGTGGGTTGACGCGG